CCAGTCGCTAGATTGTGACATTGTATGTGGGGGCAAGGGCAGGAGGGAACAATGGCAGTAGCTCCGTTCTCCTGGGACCTCAGTCCCTTCTCTGGGATCCTGGGTTGCGCGCTCTATCTCGGTCCACAATTGCCACCTCACTGGGTCTGCCAGCTGCCGCTTACGTACTCAGGGTCCACCTGCTGCGATCTTGTGCGCCCCAGATGCCCTACGCGCTCCCGGTTGCCTTATGTGCCCAGTTCTCCCTGTCTGATATCATTTCTAAACATGCTAACTTTCTAGTGATTAAGGAAGCCTCCTTTTGATACGTCTAGGATTATTTTATCTGAGAAGTCATAAATTTCTTTTAAAAAAAGTAAAGTTAAAAAAATAAAGCAGCATGAGCCCTTCTTTAAAAACTCTACTTATAAAGAAATCCAGCTACTCAAGCCACGTACCAGGAAAAGCACTGACAGTAAGCATTTATCCAACTTAATATAAAATGAACAGGATAAAAGTTAGGTGTGCAGATAGGTTAATAAATAGACTATGAGTGTTACAAACTTTGAGTGAGAAAGTTACTCAGATAAATTTTAAAGTCTTCCTGTCTACCATGGGTTGATACTGCCTAAATCTGAAACGTCAAGATTTGAAAGAAACGCTCCAAGTTGTAATATTCTGCATAATCTCTTTTCTTAACTGCAGAGGACTCATTTAGGAAATACATCAATAATTCTTTGCATTGCACTTTGGTTTCTTTTTCTTTCATTATATTTAAGCAAAACTTTGTTTAATATTTTTTTCTGTAAAACAGCAGTTAAGTTATGGATGACACATGGGGAATCCTAACACTATTACACTTTTAGTAGTTGGAGATTTTTCATCATAAAACAAGAAAAAACGCAAGCAAACCTAAATTAAAAATAAAAACCCATTACAATGCAGTCCAATTTTTATAAAATGCATATCTATCCAGTCTTCTTTTCTATCTTCCTTCCTTCTTTTTTCCTGCCTGTATACTTGCAAAAAGAATAGATCTAAAATTAAGGTCAACCTGTCAATGATGATTATTTACAGGGAAGTTTAAATTCTTTTGTATTACTTAGTTCTTAACAATGAACAAGCATTATTTTTGCAAAAATGTAACAGAGTTTTTTTCTATACCAAAGCACAACTTTATAAAAGTACTACTAAGGAATTCCCATTGAAAATTAAGTAAGGTTCAGATATGTATTGTAGCTTTCTGGTGATCTAGCCTCATGTGGTACAAAAAGCATTCACTGAGGGTAAATGTATTACTATGTCCCCCACATCAGAAAGCCTTTGGGATGGTAGTGGTGCAGAAAGGGGGTTCAAAATAACATCCTCAGCATTCTAATTTAATATAATAATGAATAATATTTATTTAGCGTATACAATGCACCAAACACAATCCTAAATACTATATACATATTAATTCATTAAATCCTAATGAAACCTATAAAGTAGCTAAATAATGTCCCAGATTTTTATGAATGCAGGACAGAGAACTTACCCATCAGAGAAGCTTGATACAAACCCACATGTCCTCATGATCAGTGTTCTTAATCACTAATGTACCAGTGGTTCCCATACTTTTACACACTGGAATGACCCAGAGATCTTGAGAAAACATTGATGCCTGGCTCATGCAAATATTCTGATTTTATTAGTACAAGGTGTGACCTGAGCAACAGGATGTTAAAAATTTCTTGGGTTGATTGTAATGTGCAGTGGCAATGTGCAACTGTACCATTCCTTTCTGCCTCCTGGTCATCCTTGGTTAGTGGTTATCGAGCCTGGGTGAACAGCACAATCACCTGATTATTTTTAGAGCTTTAAGACCCATGCCAGGCCAATGGACCTACATTTAAGTATTTTTTAATGCTTCTCAGATGATTCCAGTCTGTAGCCAAGCCTTGAGAACCACTGCTTAGGAAGATGCCAGCTGCCCTCCATGTTAACAATCAGTGTCCAGACTATGTGTGCTTTTAATTACAGAAATATCTTTCAAATACATGGGGCATGCGTGCGCACACACACACACACATGATAAAAGAACCACTGTTAAGTGGTGAAATGTCAGAGAGCATGGTTTTTAATTTACCTACACTCTCACAGATTCATAATTATTCTGGAAATAATAACATTGTATTTACTGCTTTTTCTGATGGGAATGTGGCTTACAGGTTTTCTTAGCTACAGGATTTTTCTTTTCTTTTTTCACTTTCAGGTAATGGGGCCATTCCTGGTACTGGGCTTCATCTAGGCTACCACCGGTGTAACAAGGGCCTATTGATAACTATCTACTTAAGGCCTCATATTGATGACAGAAAAAAGCTTTAGAGAATGAAAAATACTATACTCAAAAATAAAATAATAAAAGACTGTAACAGTAAAGCTCAAATGTAACAGAGATAACCACAAAATATTAAAAACAGTCCTTGAGAAATAAACTAAATAACACAACTGAATGAGGAAGAAATCTCAAGCTGAAGGTAGGGAGCACTTCTTCAAGGAGTATCTAAAGTGAAAAATCCATGCACTCCAGATCTGGTTTGGAAACCTAAGACCAGAGATACCAATGTGTAATATAATAATGGCTAGTATGTATTAAATATTTACCAAGTACCAGGTGCAATTCTAAGCCTTAGATTTGGCAATCTAAAGTCAGAGATTGTACTATAATAGAATCCTTGGCTCTCTGTATGAGAAAACACATTAATTAATTAAATTTGGGCAGCTCTTAACCACCCCTTTCCCAGGCACACATAATTCCTATTCCTCATAGCCAGGTACTGAACACAAAGCCAAAAAATATCCTGTCACTCTGGCTCTAGAAAAAAATTCTAAATTCAGCTAGGAGCCAAGTTCAAGATTAAAATATCTGGTAATCACATAAAAACCCTAATTTTGCTAATGCAAAAGAGATCCTTATGCTTTAGTAACCAGACTTCTAGGTGACAGAACTGACATCTTAATGAAAATTTGCTGTGTTTTTATCCATACAATAGTCTGCAAAGCGATGAGTCTTAAAATTCTTGAAAGGGTATCAATTATTCTTCCAGATCTTAAATTACTTAAACTGTTAATAACCTCTGGTTCCTCACTCTGACTTCCTAATATAACCAGGTGAAGTATGGACATTTGCCACCAAGAGCCAATGAACAAGCAGTCCCACATTTGCAGAGACTTTCCTCATGTACAAGCTTGGATTTGCTCTGACTCAAATAGGCAGCAAATAAGGTAACAACGAAAACTTCAGGGTTCAGAAGACATTTTCCCAAATGACTTGGAGGGTAAGGTTGTTGAAATATTCTTTCTCTTCTTTATTAAAGAAGTGTTGGAAGATGACTCTAAATCAAGGAAAACAGGGTCTCATGTTATCTTTGGAGTTATCAAAAACTGAGGCAGGCAGCCAAAATGACCATAACATAAATGAGCACTGTTCAAATTAGATCCTTTAGAATAAAAATTCAGATCCATCACCAACTTCACCAAGTGTGGAGAACACTGAAGAATAAAGAAACATTGGGTTGGCCAAAAAGTTCCTTAAAATTAGTTTTGTATTCTTATCCTCTGAATTGGTCCTAGATGGTAATTCTCTCAGTGGTCCCCAAACTTTTAGGCACCAGGCACAGGATTCACGGATGACAATTTTTCCACAGCAGTGTGGGGTGGGGAGGATGGCATGGGTGGTTTCAGGATGGTTCAAGTGCATTACATTCAAGCTCACCTCCTGTTGTGCAGCCTGGTTCCCAACAGGCGGGAGGTTTGATGACCCCTGATCTAGGTGATCAGTGGTCTGAACATATGAAAGTGATTCTTTTCCTTCAGAGAGTAATTAGAGGATTACCTGGAGGTTTGGTGTATATCCAGACATTAATGTGGGACTGGGAAATTTAAAATTTTAAGTTTCCAGGCTAGTTAAAACAATAATTGAATTGTTTCCTCATACATCAATGTACTTGATTTTAGTAATTTAGCAACTTGACTATAGTGATTCCATTTTATTGGGTAGACCAAACAGCCCATTATGGTTTTTTTTCCCAATAAAATGAAAGACACATTTTTCAATTTCCCCAATGACTTTACTGATTTGGACATTTTGAGTATGTCAGCTTATCTTCCACTATTGGCTTCCAGTGGGTAAAGGCCAGGGGACCTGCTAAATATCTTCCAATGCATAAGACAGCCCCACAGCCAAGAATTATTTGGCCAAAATGTCAATAGTACCAAGAAACTTTGCAAACCCCTTTTGACACGTTGGATTAGTCACAGCACCTTCTCCACACGCAGCACAAATCTTTCTGCGCTTCAGCTGCGTTTTTACTTTTCTCAAAATAATAAAGCATAATACACCAAAACGTTGCATATCTTCTATCATCTTCAATATTAAAATGGCCACACAAAAGTTCGCCAATTTTGATAAGACTTTTTGAATGCACACTGGCTGATATGACAGCTGTCACAATACAACCTAACAAAATTGTTTTGAATGAAATTAAGGACAGATAAGCACTATCAGAGCCATTGGGGAAAAAGAACAGACTTTCTGGCCAACCCAATACTATACGAACTCCCTGTTTTTCTGTCTTCAGAACACTCTGTGTATTACACAGCTGTATTTCTGGTTTACAAACCTTAAGACCCTTGGGTAAATCTTTATTCATTTCTAGCTAAAGCCTCCTGATTTCACTAGGTCAATATTAATTTCTATGGGGTCTAATCATGGCCCAATGACTTTTCACCCAGATAAAGCACACAACGCTCTAGGGTGGAAAGGACTGGGGGAAAAGCAAAAAGTGCTTTTCAAAGTGAAAATTGCTCTGAGCCGCATGCCCTACCGTCATCAGCTGAAACATCACCAAAGAAGGGGGAGAAGGCGGCAGAAATAAACAGGGTTTTCTCAGAACCCGCCATCCCGCTGTTTGAGGACGGCCCACCGCGGTTAGATGGCTTCGGGGTGCGGGGGCCTCCTTCTGCCAGTTCCCGGTCCGTACCTGACAGGCGATGGACCTGCGGAAGCCACACGCCATGTTGGCCTCCTACGAAGCGAGTCCCTGCACTCTAGTCTGGAGCCACACCCCGCCTTCTGCAGCCCCGCCTCAGCGCGCCGGAAGCCCGCCCCCGGAGGGTGATGCCAGCCAATCAGGAAGCCCAATAGCCAGCCACTAACCTCTGCCCTGCTGCCGCGGTGGAGCGCGGGAAATCCCGAGTTTCTGGATTCCTGGGAGCCGCAGGGACCATGGCCACCTCCTCAGTGTCCAAGGTACGTAGGGGCGGGCAGTTCCTAAGACTCAACGACAGCCTCTTTTTCTTTTCAGGAAGGCACGAAGCGGAGGTTACATAGGTTTAGGTGTGCCGACTTCAGGGTAAGGTGCAGCGGACAGAGGTGAGGGTCTTTGTTCCTGGTCCAGTTGAGGCTAACTTTACTTTGGAAGCAAAGACGCTCACGTGCCTTAGTGTTTTGGTTGGGAGGACCTTTAAATTGTTGAGGAGGTGGAATGCTCGGAGGATGTGCCCTAGTCTCCCGTACTTTTTCCTTCTCACAAATATTTATTGTGCGTCAACCACTCCAGTGGGTACCAGGATACAGAGTAGACTCAGTTTTTGCACTCAAACACATTAAACAGAGAAACTGACCACAAGTTGTGAAAAATGTTAGAAAGAAAGAAAATTCTAAGTGAGAGAGCAGAAGAACGTGAAGAACCTAATCTAGATTGCGGAGGATCAGGGAAGGCCTTTGGAGAAAGACATTTTATCTGCTATTTGAAAAATGAGTCGAAATTAGGTAGAGGTTTGGGAAGAGGGGGGTGCAGTTTTAGCAGAGAGAATGACATGTTCTTTGGACCAGAAGGTGGAAATAAAATGGCATATTTGTTCGTATAATTAGTAGAGATAGAGAAGGGGGTCTTAGAAAAAACTGTAGGATGTGTGTATGTGAGGAGATCATAGACCTCATATTGGCTGCTTAGATGGCCAGGGATTGCAAGACAGTGTAGTCGGTAAGATGATGAACTTTAAAGATTTGTTGTTCAGTGCTGTAGCCACTAGACACATGTGGATATTTAAATTAAAGTAAAATTTTAAAAAATTAAAAATTCATTTTCTCAGTCTCACTGGCCACATTTCTAGTGCTCATAACCACCTGTGGCTGTGACTACATACTAGTGCGGATTATTTTACTTCCCTCATTACTGGAAGCCCTGTTGGATAGCACTGCAGTAGACAAAGACCTTTCTTTAATAATATGAGTGCAACTGGAAGCCCTTTCAGTTAAGCTGTCTGATAAAGCTGAGAATGCAGATGAAAAAGCTGCAAAGACATTTCTCGCTCTGTTAAATCAGATTAATGAAGAGGATTGCACCATGGATCTAACTTTTAATTTTGATTTAAATTATGAGAAGCAGTGCCTTCCAAGACTACACATACCAAGGAGGAACTACAAACTTAGGGTTTAAGTTTTCAAAGGATTGACTAACTGTGATGTTAGAAGCAAATGCTAGAAGAGATTTAAGGGCTATTTTTTTTTTTTAATTAGGGTTGGTGCTGGTTTTGTTTTGCCCTGGTAGTAAAGTTCCATAGTTTTTGAGTGGTTTGTCCCCTAATCCTTTTTGTTGTGTAAGACTCTGAATTTTGGTATCTGGCAAAATTGGGAGTGTTTTTTTTTTTCCAAGAAGGTACTTATGGCATAACAGAAATGGTTGTATTGAGATGGTTATGAAGGAGTTCTTGCATGAATAAGAATCTTTAAAGACTATTTCTGGAGTTCATGAAATTGCTGGGGGGTTTTTTGCCCCTAACCTACTAGACTTCTCTTTCTTTGTCATATTTTCTTGCTGTCAGCTGTCCTCCTAGATTCTTTGTCCATCTCAAATAACATTCCTTGATCAGGAGTTAAGAGTGGTTAACTTTATTACTACCATTGCTATAAATTATGGTTCATTCTTGGTATTCTTTGTATCTCATGCCTTTAAAGCTCCTTTTCCTTTTCTGAATTGCAGATGGACATAGAAAGGAGGCAATGCCAAGCTTGCCATGGTACCACACCATTTTTCTAAATATGTATGTGTATTTTATATAGTTCCACTAGTAGCAGATACAAAAGTATATATAAGGCAGAGTTCTCACTTTGGATCCCGTAATCCAAATGACCACTTTATATTTTCACTGCTGTCTTCAGCACTATCCTGAGATGACTTTTTCTAGATACATATTTTCCTTTTCCTTAGAAATGGCAATCTTAAGTAGCTGTCCATGATATGTGGCTTTAGGATTGGTAGAATAAACATAAGACCAGTAGCTTGGGGGCTATGTATCACTAGTCAAATTATAACATGAAACTATGTGTAGCTAGGAAATTACCAGGAATATTACTTGGCAAGCATTCCTTCTGTATGATAATTAGGTCTAATGTCTATGTTAACACTATCCTAAACATTGGGGAAATGATTATGAACTGAATGCAATCTGCTCTGAAGGTGCTCACAAACTACTTTGGGAGACAGACCCTAAATAACTGTGATACAGTGTGAAAGAGATTTAAAATAAAGATATTCGAGTAGTGTGAGATCTTAGGGGAAGGAGTATTTTAACTAGAGAATTGGAGATTTCCCAGAGTGGGTAGGTTTGAGTTGACCAATAATGGATGAAAGAGTAAGAGTTTCTCAGATGAAAAAAGGTGACACAAAATAGCCTACATTATATATTTCCCATCCACGTTCTAGATAGTTGGATTTTAATTTAATTAAGAAATAAATCATTCTTTTGGGCCCTGGCTGGCGTAGCTCAGTGGATTGAGCGTGGGCTGGGAACCAAAGTGTCCCAGGTTCGATTCCCAGCCAGGGTACATGCCTGGGTTGCAGGCCATAACCCCCAGCAACCACACATTGATGTTTCTCTCTCTCTCTCCTTCCCTTCCCTCTCTAAAAATAAATAAATAAAATCTTTAAAAAAAAGAAATAATTCTTTTGAGATAGGAGCACAACTATTTTGTATCTTCTCTTTTTTTTAGACTTTATTTATTTTTAGAGGGGAGGAAAGAGGGAAAAAGAAAGGGTGAGAAACATAAGTTGGTTGCCTCTTGTAGACATCCCGACTGGGGACCAAACCTGCAACCCAAATATGTGCCCTGACCGGGAGTTGAGCCAGCAACCTTTCACTTTGTGGAATGATGCACAATCATCATTCCAATGTATAAAATAGGTCAGGCCTATTTTATATATTCTCGATCTTCATTTTAATGTATACTAATATTCTTTCTTCTCTAAGTTTTATAAAAATGGAACCTTTCTGAGTTAAATTTCATCAGCATTTGTTTTCTTTTCTACCTCTAAAGTAAGGTCCCTAAGAGCAAAATCAAATGTAAACATCCCATGGGAAGGAGGAGAAAGAAATGCATAGTTCTTGTATTGCTTAAGAATTTTCCTTCTATAACTTGGATAGAAAATGGATTATTTCTTAGCATTTTAAAGAAATACATTTAAAAAATTTGCTTATCCATAAAATACTTGGTTAGTAGATTTACTGATCCTTGGCTACGTTGACTTTGTGATTTTTTTCCCCTTTTTTTACAGGGCTGCTTTGTGTTTAAGCCAAACTTAAAGAAAAGAAAGACCTCTGTGCCTATAGGTAAGATGTCTTAATAACAGATTTGTTAGTTTTCCTTCCCTAACTGAATTTAGTAATTCTCTTCTGTTGACATAGCAGTTACCTTACAAGGCATAGGACAAAGCAATAAGGGTACAACCCTAGGGTTCTAATCTAAAAGGAAATACAAACATACCTTCAAACGGCAAATTGAAAAGTAAATGTCCTTCAAAGGATATGTCACCATTCTTTAGAAGAGATTGTCTTAAAAATCTTAGTGGTTTCCTAGGGTAAAGTATAGGAGTTGACTGCAAAAGGGCGGGAGGGACTTTTATGGAGTGAGGGAAATGTTTTGTAGATTTGAGGGGGGGGGTCATGTGACTGCAGGCTTTTGTTAGAACATATCAAATGAGGATACATAGACATAAAGAACTTTCTCAGTGATGTTGTTAGTGGCAGAGCCAGGTTTTGAAACCAAGCTGTCTGATTCTCAAATCCATGTTCTAACCATTACTTAGTACTGCCTCTCAAACTATGAGATGAATTTTCACTTAGAACCTTTTGTATTAAATTGCAGCTATAATTTATTAAGATTTGTTTAAAGTTTTTAGTTATATTAGTAAACCTAGTGTTTATAACTGTATAATATGAACTTTGAAGTACCTTAGGTTTATTCCATTATGCAGATCTAAGACCAACAGGTCCTGTTATAGTATGAAAATCTTAGAGGAATTGACCCTAACTTTAAAACAGATGGAGCAGAAATGAGGAAAACATATCCAGATTTTAGCACTTGCCTTCAATGTCTTCAGTTCTCAAAACAAAATTGTCTGAATAAGTAGAGAGATGCTCTGCATTGTGCCCCACAACTGTCCCCTGACTTGAAGGCATTTTGACGTGTGCCTAAAAAAAGACTGATACCTCTCCTTCTCCTCAGTATTCTGTGGAGAGAGAGAGAGAGATGAATTGTAAGGAGCAAGAGCTAAACTGTCAGCAGTGAAAGCTGATAGTCATTGTTTACCTCCTCTCAGTGCTTACTTATTTTTTACCTGCTTACTTGGTAAATGACTGAGAGAAGTTGTGGTAACAGGTTAAAGGGTCCTACTGCTCTTGTTTTCCAATTTCTGACACTTTGTTCAGTATTTTGATGCAGCATCATTCACAAAAGTATTTATGTCTTGATTTGCCACTTTAACACTTTATGTTTTTACTCATTTTCAAAGATGACTGTTTTTGTTTTGTTTAAGGCAACCTTGTTATTCTTGTCTCTTATTAGTAGTATATCTCCTTGCTTTTTTAGTTTGTTTCATATTATAAACTTATCTGTCATTTATCATATGATGACTTCAGTATATTCTAAGCCTTTTGATAAAATTAAAAAATCAATGTTTGTCCCAAACCAATTCAACTACGATTAGAAGTGAAGTTCCTTAACATGAAAGAGAATTTCTATTCCAAACTCTTACTT